TCAAAATAAATAAAATTCTAGAAAAAAAAAAAAAAAAAAAGGAAAAAAAAAAAAAAAAAAAAAAAACCGTCCCTAACCAATAAGAACTTTTTTTAATTTAATGATTGGATAAGAAAGGTGCAAAGGTCAAGTCTAATATATAAGTGCAAGTTGAATAAAAATACCATCTAATGGTGGGCCTTTGTAAAATACTAAACCAATTATTATGGAATCTTTCACATCTTCTTCCCTTATCCACTTAAAAGAGCAAGACACAATTAGCCCGTGATGCCATTTCCTTAGCTCCAATAGATGACATTTGGTAATAAAAATTGAAGCTGATAGCTGATAATCAGCTCCAATTTTTATTTAATGTTAATAATTATTATTGTTCATAATTTATATACTTTTCTTTCGTTTGATGAGAGACAACAATCATTAACTATTCTTTGCTAGTTAATTCAAACATGATATTAGATTTTATCCAAAGATGAAGATAAGGAGTGGTTACTTATGAGAACAGAACAAGAAAAAGAAAAAGAAAAAAAAAAGTAGGGAAGGGAAATCTGACCTCAAAGAGGGACAGAGAATTGCCAAAGATGAAATCCACCGAACCTTCGATGAAACAATCCTTGTAATAATGCCTACCCTGATGATCATACAGTGTGTCCTGTGCTCCCAAGAATCGACACCCAAGGAATGTAGCTGTATCTGCCGATATCCTTAATGCCACTGCTTGCTTTCCCACTGCCCCTGGTGGTGGAACTGGTGTTGTATTCTGCACCAAATTCAAGCTTAGTTAGAGGAAACAAGGACAAGGGAGAGGATAAAGAGGAAAATCAAGTGGTACATTATTAATTACCTTGAATGTGATGTTTTTGGCTATGAAATAAGGAGCATTCACACCAAAAGTTGCAGACCCATTTGTCCCCAAAGGTTGCCCATTTGGTCCAGTTGTTTGCGCTGTGTCTCCCCATTGTATTATTGTCTTATCTGCTCCATCTCCTTCTATGGTTATAAATGATTTCCCTTGGGGTATGCTAACCTTCTCCCTGCAAAATTTACACATGCATGGAATGAAAAGATAGACCAATCATGCTGGAAATGCACGTTCGAATTCCTCCATGTGAGTGTCCGGTTACTAATGTTAGGAAACAAACAGATTTTTCATCAAACTCAATCTGATCACTAAGAAGATACTAACACAAACAAAAATTTGAATCAGACATTCTTGCATTACTAAGTACTTACGTGTAAACCCCTGCATAAACCTTGATGACCACCCTTACAGGATTGATAGAAGGTAGAGAATCAATAGCGTCTTGAATGCTAGTGAAGTCTCCAACCACCGGATTCTTCGCCACAATAATGGTATAAGAAGGGAAGGCAATATTTTTTGCTGTCTTGAAGACAGAGTGCTTGAGGCCGCCAACAAAATTGACCCATTTCATGAATTGCTGCTCAGAGAATTGGACTTTTGTAATATTCACTCTCTGATGATTCCCTTTATAGCTCCTCCCCAATTTGAGCCCTTTAGTATGGCATAATGTCTGGCCTGAATTTACAAGAAGAAGAATGAAACTACACAAAAAATGTACGAACTTTGGCATTGAAAGAAACGAAGAAAAGGGATTTTAGAAACCGTAGCAATGAAGAAAAGGGAATGAAAATTGATTTTGAGGTACCATTTTGAGTGAATTTATATACATGCAACTTAGATAATACTTAATAGTTGGTAGTCTTGTTTTAGGTGGAAAGTGAAGAATGAGAGACAGCGAGAGCAAGGAATCACGGATAATCCCACCGAAAAAGATGCCAAGCAAACAAATCTAGGCCACAAATACACATCAAGGTTGCATTTTATTTTGCATAAAAAAACGTTTGTTTCTAATGCGGTTTTAGCTGTTTCGGTTGTTAGTGCCCCGTGAGTGCTTTCTTCCGAGTGTTTTTTCGATTGATCTTATTTGTTTGTGACACAACCTTCTACTTTTGGTTTTATTTTTCATTTATTGGTTGGTTTTTTTTTGGCCGTCATTCATTTATTGGTTGTTGGACGGTTCAGTATACAATGATAAAGGATATAACCTTTTTGTTTTCATTTATGCTTCAATTATTCTAAGAATGGTTGCTTACTAGATATATGAATTTTTATGGTATCTTTTTATAATTAATTTAAATAAAAAAATTAAAATTAATTTTTAATTTTATCTTAAACTTTAAGGGTATATAATAGAAAAACTCTTACAATAAAAGGATATGATTCTTTTTTTTTTTTTTTTTCAACTAAAGTCTAAATGAACTGAAATGTAGTACTCTGTGGAAGGAGTATCCTTTCTAAAAGTAATGAAAAAGCTATATATTGAATTAAGTAGAGAAGAGGCGGGACTCCTCTGCAAACCATTGAAGTGAAAATTGCTTATTGTCGCAATACACCACCAACTAAACTATATATACATATATGAGGTGGGGCTTACATGTATTATATTTATGGAAAAGGAAAAAACATGACATTTTAGTATTAAAAATGATACAATGTTTAATAATAATTACATGATAATTTTGATAAAATTAGAGTTCACATTATGTTTTATCTATTTAATGACCGTGATTGAATATCTTAATATTTTTAACATTAAGACATTTTGATTTTTCCTTTTTTCATTTTTTATTTTGATT